ACACCATGCTGGGACCAGACCCAGGACAGGCCCCCAAGGACGGCTCCACTGTTTCTGTCCTGCTCCTCCTTCATTTCCACTGGAACGGCTTACCTGGCCTTGGTCCCCGCTTCCTTTGTGGCCAGCCACACTCACTCTCCCCTGGTGCCCCCGTCACTACTGTAACTTTAACCATTTCCACACTTCCAGTGGCCTCTCCCTTCTGGACACTGTCATGGGACATACTACACGGGATGTATTCTTAACTCCAACTTGCCACACATGACTTTTTCCCTTCAGAACCAGTTTCTGAAAGAAGCTACCACCAGGTCTAGTGATATGGGACCCAGATTCATATTTCATGCCACTCTACCTCCTGTTATGGTCAACCACCAACCAACCTTTCTATAGCCACTGTTTCAATATATTTTTATTTTTGAGATGGGATCTTGCTATTCAGCCCAGGCTGGCCTTGAACTCGCTTATTTAGCCCAAGCAGGTCCTGAACTTGCTGTGTAGCCCAAGCTGGCTCTGAACTCCTGTCTCAGCCTCCTGCATGTTGAGATTGCAGGTGCATAACACCATACCTGACTAATTGTTCTCTTCCAAATCTTTCTTTCTTTCTTACTCTCTGCTCTTAGGATGTGACGGGGACTCACCGAGCCATTGAGGCCATTTTGAGCTGTTTTCTTCACCTCTGGCTTGGAGGCAATGATGAGGTAGGTTTCGATGCCCTTCTCATCTAGGTAGTCACAGCGACTGCCCCCATCACCAGGCTCTACATCAAACTCCCCCCTTCAGGCAGTCCATGGTGCTCTGGGAGATGTGTACACGCCTGCAGTACAGTGAGAGACCCCGCGCATGCACCAATTGCCTGTCTCCCCCCCCCCACCCCCCAGAGACAGACAGCAGACCATAGAGCACTGACTGATGATGCTGGGACCAGTGACTCCAGGGTAAATGTGGCAAGGACTAGGGAGCAGACCTGCTGCTAACCAGCTGTGTGGGCAGCATGGTGCCCACTGCTCTGAGCTTCCTCCCAGAGGTGGCAGAATTCTTAGAACAGGAATGTAATTTTCTTTCCTGGTTGTTTAGAGTATCAGATAAGGGGCCAGAGAGATGGCTCTGCTGTTAAGAGCACTTTTTGCTCTTCCAGAGGACCCAACTTTGGTTCCCAGCATCTACATCAGGCAGTTCACACTGGTCTCAAACTCCAGCTCCAGAGGATCCAATACCTCTGGTCTCTGCAGGTATCTGCATATCATACATGCACACCCACAGACACATACACCTATATATAAATAAAAATGATAAAAATAAATCTTTTAAGTATCAAATTATATACCAAATTTCAATACCAGCTCTGAACTCTAACTTCAAGAATTAGATTCTTGCCAGGCAGTGGTGGTGCACGCCTTTAATCCCAGCACTTGGGAGGCAGAGCCAGATGGATCTCTGAGAGTTCAAGGCCAGCCCCATCTACAGAGCGAGATCCAGGACAGGCACCAAAACTACACAGAGAAACCCTGTCTTGAAAAACCAAAAAAAAAAAAAAAAAAAAAAGAATTGGATTCTCTCTCCCTTGCTCCCCTGCTGCCAAGGGGACTAAAAGTCACAGTCACTGAGGAGAGAACAGAAACTGCCTCCACTGAGGCCCCAAGGGCAGGCAGGTGGGCCAGGCCCTCCTGAAGCCTGCCCAGAGACAGGCACCTGAGGGTAGTGTCCCAGCCAGAGGGCCAGAGGCTGGCTGTGTGGTTAGATACTTTTGGTCAGCTTCACACATCCTAGGATCACCTAGGGATTCCCCAGGTGATAGGGAATTTCAACTGAGGAATTGCCCAGATCAGACTGACCTGTGACCATGTCTGAAAGAAATGACCTTGACTGATGATTGATGTGGAAGGGTCCAGCCCACTGTGGGCAGCACCATCCCTAGGCAGCTGAGAGTTGAGGCCGAGATTGAATCCGTAAATTTCCCTGGTTTCTGCTTCACTTCCTACTCTGATTTCCCTTAATGATAAACTGGAAGCATAAGCCAAGTAAATCCTTTCTTCCACAGGTGGCTTTTGGGCAGAGAGTTTTATCACCGGAACAGAAGGTAGGAACACTACTCCTGGGAGGGATGGGAGTTTGGGCCCCCTTGTCCCTCATTAGGGCCACAGCCCTGAGAATAGATAGGATGGTTCCCCTCCCTTGGTCCTTACATCCACCCCCTTGAAAGGAGCACTCACCCTGGGATGCCTCCAGCCTCCATCTTGTTAGCCACAGTGACATCGGTAGACCACACATCATACTGCCAACGCTTCTGCGCCTAGGACACCGCCTAGCACGGTGCCTGTGCGTGCACCCCCCACACGCATGTCCCACTCCAGTCTTGGTCTTCTCCCCGCACATACCTGCCAGGCACAGAGAGGTTGGCGCTGGGGTAGGGCATAGCATCATGAGGTGCCCGGCAGCCTTTGCCCTGGCAGGCCGATTCTCTGGGCTGAGAGGACCTAGCATGTCCCCTCTGGCTTTTTGCCTGAGTTAAGTGGCCTGCGCTGGGGTTAACACAGGCCAGAGCCCAGATTCAGTGATGACAGGCTGGAGGATACAGTGACTTCCCCCAGGGGACCTCCCGTTATTTTCTCTCTTCCATCCCTTATTCACTCATGCAGTTAGCGTTTCATTGAGAGCGTGTCTGGTGCATTCTGCACACGCTGCCGATGCAGAGATGAGTGAAACTGTAGCTAGCTCCTTGCCCGAGAACTCCAGGAACAACACACACAGAATTCAGATATTTGTTGTCAGGTCCAAAAGGAACTCCGGAAAAATGGCTAACTGTGGTGCGTATTAACATACCAAAGCACATGCTGGCTTGTGTGCTCTCTCAGCACTGAGAATATCTGTTACAGAGTCCGTGCTGGCACCCAAAACTCCTCCAGCTCACGGGCTTCCCCAGTTTCTCATTCCTATAGACCCAGGCGTTTTTGACCATGAGCTCTCTTGGTCCTTCTCTTTTGGTGTTCTCTTCTCTCCCCCTCCCCCTCCCCCCTCTCATCTCCCCCCAACCCATGGCTAAGTCCAGTCTGCTGCGCCAGGTACCATACACTACTTTTCTCCCCCCTGCCCTGGACTCTTCCAGATGCCTCTGGCTGTTCTCTCCCTCATGTCTACAATACAAACCTTCTCCTCAACCATCCTTGGAGCAACCATGTCCTCACTTTGTATATTCCTGCTGGACTGCGTTGTGGAGGGAGGCTGAACTTTCTAATCTTAATCTACTCGACCGTTGAGGAAGGCAGGGGATACCAGAGGGGCTTCAACCTGGGAGACGGTAGGAATTCACAGCTGCCCAGAGACAGAATGCGTGGCTGTCCCAGGCTCTGACCCTGAGGGGAGAAGCTGCCTGATGCATCTCCTTTCTTACCATGTGCTTGAGGGATCCCCCCAAGCCACCACACATCCAAGTCTACCTGAGGGCTGCCCTTCCAGGCCTCTCCAGGACCATGTGGAGCAGCGACAAGGTACAGGATTGAGAGGGAAGAGCGGTCACCCAGCCCCCAAGCGCACAGGTGGAAGCAGAGGCTGGGCTAGAGCAGAGGCTAGGTTCCCACAGCACCATAGACGTGACCTCAGAGGTCCCTTAATTACAACATGGAGGACAAACTCTGTACTGATCTGTCTGGGGGTGGAGGGATCATAAAGACAAAATGGAAGCGAAAAGATGGGAGACATGCACCAGAGAAGGTTCTCCTCCAGCACTAGGGGAGGTGCCATGATGAATTTCCCAACTCCAGCTCCCAGCAGAAAAAAAAAAAAAAGCCAGAAGCAAAGGCTGAAGAAACATGTCTCGGAGGCTGTGGAGTCTGGCTCTTTCCCTCAGCTCTGAAGAAGGGAAGCCACAGCTGGAAAGCAGCAGGACCAGGACTCAGCCTTACTCCAAATCTCAAATAGATCCTCCATGGTGCCGGACATCTGGCCACCCCGCCCGCCCGCCCAGAGGCGCCCACTTACGAGATGGCCTCCACCATGGCGAGCCCCATGAGGATGGAGCACACAGCGTGGTCCTCCCGGTAGTCAGGCAGGCCGCAGATGCAGTAGTAACAGTCCCCCAGGATCTTGATCCTCAGCTGGTGGTATTTCTGAAAGGACAGAGCAGGGCCTGTGCTCCGGGCCCCTTGGCCATGGAGGAAAGGACCAGGGGGTGGAGGACGGCCAGGTAAGGAAGGGCTAGGAGCCACAGGCAGGGCTGAGGGTTGAAGACCACGGCAGATGAGGAGGGGGCCACGGTTGGTACTTACGGCCGCCAGCTTGTCGAAGCGGGCAAAAAGCTCATTGAGAAGCTTCACGAGCTCCTGGGCGCTGCAGGCGGAGGACAGCTGGGTAAAGCCTACAATATCTGCAAACAGGATGCTGCAAAAAGGGGGGGGGGGGTCATAGGTGGTAAGGCTCCCGACAGTGACTCCACCACCCACTCCTGCCCGCTCAAGACCACCCAACTCAAGACCCTGGCACGGCCTGGACATTGAACCTTAGCTTCTGCAAGGCCCCCTCCTGGGGCCGGCCTGGTGACCACCACCACACCTCCCTCCTGGCCCTGGCTGCAGATCTTTCTAGAATCAGAGGTCCTGGTTCTAGCCTCAGAGCTGGTCCTGGATGGGTAGGTGACCTCACAGGAGCCCCTTTTCTGGGTGACGTTTACTCAATGACAGGTTAGAGCAGGTAGGCCAACATGCATTTTTCCCTCTGCTGTCTACTGGTAGGGCCCCTCCCATGGGGATGAGTTTAGGGGAGCCAAGATGCACACCGTGGGAAAATGGGACCCCATAGACCTCAGTCGAGCCCCTGACGCGGTGCGGCTCCCTGGCCCATCCTGCTGTCGGGGCCTCCACGCCACCGTACCTGACGTTCTCATGACGGTACATGTACATGGTGTTGAACTGCTGCTGGTCCTTCTGGCTCTCGCCCTTCTTCATGTCCTTCAACATCTCGTCGGCCACGTGCTTCGGCAGGATGGAAAGCATGAGGTTCTCCTGTGAGGAGAGGGTTGGAAGGGAAATGGTCTGCACGCCTCCTCTGGGAAGAACCCCAATGCTGGTGAGGGATGTCATCCAGGAACTACACAGCCCTGCACAGAGGCCCCAACACCCATTTGGCAGCAGCCAAAGGCCAGGCTGGGCAGTTTCTGGCCCTGACGAGGCTCAGCATCATGACCGCCCTGCAGATGACTGAGAGGCACAGGAAACGGCGCAGAGGAACTCCAGCTCATCATGTTCCTCTTTCCATAAGAACGGTGACCATTCCTGTGTCCGCCACTGCCCCAATCCCGCACAGCTGAGTCCTTTTCATGCCACCCGCGGCACCGTCACAAAACAATCACCAACCTGACCGAAGACCTACGGCCCATCGGACACCGATGACCCCAAAGCCGGCAAGAATTCTACCTGAGCCTGGGGTCTCCTGAGGACACAGGTCAGAATGTCCACCGCAATGCAGTGTGACACGTACAGCCCACCAGCTTGAGAATGGAGACAGTGGAGCCCACTGAGGCAGGGAGCTGAGTACCCCGTGAGGAAGGGGTCAAAACCCACCAAGTGAGGCAGGGGTACCGAGGGGCCTTCCCAGAAGTGAGACAGAACTAAGTCGGGTCAACCAAGGCCTTCCTGAGAGAGAGCCACAAATCCAAAGCAGGCCCACAGGGGGAGTCCTCCAGGGCTCAAGGACTGGAGGGGTACTTAAGTAGCAGTAGAATCAGTACTGCTGCTCAAGTACTAGGTGGAGACAAGAGTCAGCACACTGGCCTGTGGGCCAAATGTGTTTGCTGTCTGCTTTCATAAAGTTTTATTGGCACCCAGCCAGGCTCACTTGTTTACACATTGTTCCTGTTTTCACACTCCAACAAGAGCTGAGTAGTTGTGACAAAGACCATATGCCTGGCAAAGCTAGAAATATTTGCACTCTCTTTCCAGAAGGAAAAAAAAAAAAAAAAAACTCTGCGGCTTGGACATCTGAGGGGATGGCGCCAGCGCTCAGAATACAGAACCATAGAGGAAAACCAGATGTCAGGGCAAAGTCAGGAGCGGGGCCATACACGTGGTGTGGGGCTGAGGAGCCTCCATGGGGGAACGCTCTGCAGGCGGTGCTTAGGAGAGGCCTAGGGGCCACACCAGAAGCTCTGGAAACCACGGCCCGGGAATCGGCGTGGCAAGACACGGGTCCGAAAAGAAGGAAAAGAGGACACAGTAGACAGAATGGGGCGGGGGAGGGGGTAGGCAGAGGAACACAAACCAACCAGCCATGCTGTCCCTTCATCCCTGAGGGAAGCGGGGATGGCAGTGTCTGATGTCGGGCAGTGGGGAAGAGCCACATGCTAAGATGGAGGCTGTGGGGGTCAAAGGGTAAGAGAACCATGGAGGATGGAGAGGGGCCGACGAGGAGGAGGTGAAGTGGGCCAGACCGGCCTGGGAGAAGTGGGGGCCACAGGAAAGGGCGGAGCTGTGACGAAGCTGCAGGCCTGTGGCAGAACCCCAGTGCCAGAGCAGACCCTGGGGACCGGGCCAGGAGCACACCGTGAGCTCAGCTGCTCAAAGGCAGCAGGGTGGCTCAGCCCACGGCACGTGAGCCACCTGGTTCCAGGATGGCCGGTGCCTGGCTCTAGCCTCAAGTGCTCACGGCCCTTTCACAATGTTTTCCATTTCCATGGCCGCCTTTTCCAGTGTTAAGAACCTCGTGATGGCATCATTACTGTGCAGGAATGAGAAGCCAAAATAACCCCAGTGCGGCGCCCTGCCCTAAGCTCCACCAGAGCCCGTGGAGCGGCAGAGTCCCCCAGGGCCCTGCGGCCCAGCCAGCAAGTAAGACCCAGGTGACCCTGGCACCTGGCAGCCCCAGCCTCCTGTCCGTGGGGCGGAGTCAAAGGAAGTCTGATGCAAAGATGATGAGGGAGGGTGGCGTCTGGTGGGGCCTGGGCACCTGTCCCAGAACCTGTTCCACACCTAGAAAACAAGAGAAGCGCCGGGCGGTGGTGGCGCATGCCTTTAATCCCAGCACTGGGGAGGCAGAGGCAGGTGACTCTCTGTGAGTTCAAGGCCAGCCTGGTCTACTCTACAGAGTGAGTTCCAGGACAGGCTCCAAAAGCAGAGCCAGGGTCCTGGTAGCCACTTGGGCAGCCCTGAGAAGTCGCTGGAGTCCTGAGTGGCAGAAGCAGAATTCTGAAGTTGGTGGGTGGTAGGCAGCAGTGAGACCTGGGGGGGCTAGGACTTTGGACTGGTCATTTCAAGGTCCCCGTCTAAAATCCGCAGGGGTGGGAGCAGGCAGGGCGAAGAACGTGCCTCCATATTCCCAACGCGCCATCAGACATGTCACCAAAACTCCCTGGAGCCTTGTTTCCTAGGTGGTGAACTGGGACTAAGTGGCTCATTAGCACAAAGCACTTAGAACAATGCCTGGCCCCCAGGAAGTGCTCAGTGTATCCTAAGTCTGCAGAGTGTGCCCGAGGGAGACCTCAACAAGGTGTGGCCTGGTCTTCCCGTAGGCTTCCAGGGTGGCCACGGAGTTATACACTGAGTTCCCTCGGACAGCCTACTGTCAGCGGAACACCTTCAGGTCCCTCAGCCAGGCTGCAGGAGCTCTCTTGAGACATGAACAGAAGACTCCTATTCAAGTTACATCCTCCAGGACTCTCCTGACCCCCTCCACCACCTCGCCCTGACATATATGCTCATAGGGGGCCAGGTGAAGACGGTCCCGGGTCCTGGCAGCCTGTCCACTGTGTAAGCAGGTACACAGAACCCAGGTTTAAGAAGGTCACAGCACCAAGTTAATTGTGCTAGCCTAGTGCTGCAACCCCAGCTGCCTCAGTCCACTCAGTTAAACCCTCTGTCCTTCTCCGGCCACCTCACAGCTCTGGGGACACAGCAAAAGTCCCCTTAGAATCCCATGGACACCGGAGTCCAACCCAGCCCTGGAAAGAGCTGTATGTCCCTGATCACATCGTGATACCCCCCCCCCCCACTTTAAACACTGCCTCCTCCTAGCTGGGTCTGGACCCTCAGCGGTCAGCGTGACTACAGCAGCAGGGACACAAGATGACGGTGGCTCTGGAGACCAAAACACAAGAGCCTCAGAAATCCCTTCTCAGTGGACGCAGCTGGTTTCTTCTGGGATGGGATGGTTGGAGATGTTCGTTTGTCCTTTCTTTTCTTCCTTTTCCTTTTGTAGTATGTATTTCTATAACAATGTTGAAGAATGATACAGAAGGTCCGAAGGCAGATGGTCATAAATAAATACCCATCTTTTGTTTCTGTTTTTGGAGACAGGGTTTCTCTACATAGCTCTGGCTGTCCTTGAACTCTGTAGACCAGGCTGGCCTCGAACTCACAGCGATCCACCTGCCTCTGCCTCCCAAGCGTTGAGATCAAAGGCGTGTGCCACCACCGCCCAGCCTATGAATACCAATCTTAAAGATAAGGAAAGGGCTGTGGCTGTAAATGAAGGCCATTAATTTACTTGTGTGTATGTGGAGATCTCAGCCTCAAAGGGCCTGCTGCCCCTGGCTTGCTCAGCCATGTTTCTTGTACAGCCAGCCAGGGCCCATCTGCCCAGGATGGCACCACCCAGAGTTGGCTGGGCCCTCCCATGTCAGCATTCAAGAATGCCCTGCGTACCCCACAGCTGGGCGTGGTACCGCACGCCTTTGAACCCAGAACTCAGGGACAGAGGCAGGCAGATCTCTGTGAGTTTGAGGCCAGCTTGGTCTGCATAGTTAGTTCCAGAAGAGCAAGGCTATATAGAAAAGAGACCCGTCTTAAAAAAAAAAAGAAAAAAGAAAGAAAGAAAGAAAGAAAAAGAAGAGGAGGAGGAGGAGGAGAAAGAAAGGAAGAAAGAGAGAGAGAGAGAGAGAGAGAGAGAGAGAACACGGATATGCCCACAAACCAATGTTGAAAGCAATTCCTCAACTGAGATCCCTCTTCTCGGGTATGACCAGGTTTGTATCGAGTTGAGAAAAACCATGACACAGAGTCTCTGTAATTGTGAGCTGTGTTTGTCAGGAACTCACCGGGGGAAGGGGGCTCTGCAACAATTCACTGTTAGTTATTCTTTCGTTTCCACGAATCTCTTCATTTTCAAAATGGTTTTTTAATATGATCTTCAAGACTCCATAAAAACGATCCTCTCATGTCATTAAACTGGGTATTTTGAATTCTAATGCTGTGAGTCACAACCATTGGATGTCCTCACAGACAGACACCGATTCATGAATTGGATCTATGCAGCAAACACACATCAATTGAATAATGGAACATAGAACTGAATAATAATCCTCGTCATTACATAAATGTTTATGAACAACTTCAGACTCTGGGTCCCTTCTGTCTCTCCTCTAGAGGCACCTGTGGGCACTGAGCAGCCATACTTCCCAGGATGGCTTTCTCACACTTCCGTGTCCCGAAGTGGCATGTGGTATTTCAACTTTAGTTGGCCAGCAGAGAGAGAATTTCTCTGGAGGACAGGACTGAGGAAATGTTACTTCTTTGATAATTTATTTATTTCACGTGCATTTGTGTTTTGCTTACATGTGTGTATGTGTGAAGGTATCAGTTCCCCTGGAACTGGAGTTACAGGCAGTGGTGAGCTGCCATGTGGGTGCTGGGAATTGAACCCTGGTCTCCTAGAAGAGCAGCCAGTGTGCTCTTAACCGCTGAGCCATCTCTCTAGTTCCCTGAAGCTACTTTTTAATCTGATGGTGTGAACCAGAGAAGCTGTGTCTGCTGGAGGCTGACAGTGATGACTAGGGCATCTTTGCTGAAGAGAGAATGCATTTTAGAAACAAAAATAATCTTGTTTGGGCTGGGGAGATGGTTCCATAAAGTGCTGAGTTCAATCCCCGAAGCTACATAAAAACGCTGGGTGCGGTGGCACACACTTGTAGGCCCAGCATGGCAGAGGTCCCTGGTGGCCTACTTGGGAAGTGTCAGCTAATAAGAGACCCTGCATCGAAAGAGATGGACAGCATTCCATTCCTAAGGATAACACCTGAGGTATATCCTCTGGCCTCCATACAAGAGAATGTGTGTGTGTGTGTGTGTGTGTGTGTGTGTGTGTGTGTGTGTGTGTATGTATGAGAGAGAAAGAGACAGACAGACATACACACACACACACACACACACACACACACACACACGATTCAAGAGGTCAGAGTTCCCTGACGAGGGGTTAGGCTGCCACGGCCTCTCACCTTGGGCAAGCACCTCCTTTTAGCCTTCCACCTATACCCTGGGAGCCTAAGAAGACTCTTTCCATTGTTCAAAGTCTAAAACCTTCCAAAGGAAAACTTCCCCAAAGTCACAAAAGACTTAGCTCTGTCCCCAGGACTGTGGTTGACACAGATTTTACAGGTCCAGCGTGGCCTGGTGAAAGGGATGGAGTGCCATTCAGACAGCATCAACGTTAGAAGGTCCATTTGGACCCCCAAACCAATTGTGGAGGAACGAAAAAGGAGAGGGCCAGCACACTGATCTTGGAGGGGAAATGTCTGACGTCCGCCATGCTGGCAGATTTGGAATGACTTTCCAGCATGGAGTGGCCTCCAAAACATGCACCTTGGGCCTGGGCCTGCTCCCCAGCTCGCCCTCACTGCCCTTAGCCCACACGCCTCCTACAGCGGGAGGAAAGTGTCAGCATGCTTAAGTTTCCAGCAGGAAGTGAACAGGAGTGGAAGGAGCTTGAGCTGGGGCTGAGGGGCTGCAATTCAGCCAGGAAGAGAGGGGGCTTTCCAGGATGGAGATCACAGAGCACCCCCCTTTTCAAGTCTGAGCAAAGGTGCTGTGTGGAGAAGAGAGTTGCTTTGGGGGCCTCTCAAAGGAAGGTTGATAAAGAAACAGATGCTCTCTGAGAGGGGAAGGGAAGGATATTTTTGTCACAGTGCAAAGAACGGGCTGGCCAGGTAGTGGGTGAACTCTCAGTCCTGAAGTCTGGTGTCAAGCTGGAGGTGGGAGGCTAGCCCCAAGGGATGGGGACTAACCAGCCCCTGTCAGTGAGGCCTGGAGCGCTGAGGCCTGGGGCACTGAGACTGTGTTCAGCACTGACAAGACAACAGGTCATTTGTTTTAAAGTTTCTCCTCAGCTCTGCCCTGAGGGTCATGTGTGAGGGGAAAAAAAGTCAAGGGCCTGGCCCTATCTGGGGGAAAGACCAAAGTGTGCAGAGAGAAAGACTTGGAAGTCTGGTAGGCCCTCGGGGCAGAACAGTCAAACCTCTCAGATTTTCGGGAGAAGCACCCTCCCAGGCTCGTCCTGGGCAGTGTGCAAACACACACTGGAGAGTAGAGGACTGTCAAGGGTGGAGGCGGTGGCGGCAGCGGGAGGGACCGTCCCCGGGTGAAAAGGCAGAGTCCTCACCTCCTGACACCGGCCAGGATTACATCCATAAGCAGGTGCCAGGCTACTCCGAGGGGATGGCTGTCTGTCAGGACGCCCTCCAGCAAGCTCCGAAGGAACCAGTCAAATCCTCCTCCTCAGCAGTGAGTCAGTGTGCTGGCTCAGGACTGAGATGGTAGGAAGAGGCCAGCATGGTCCCGGGGGCCCCGAGTTGTTAGAGTTGACACTCTGATGAGGCATTCAGGAGTTAATTACAGCAAGGGAGCCAGGAGGGATTTGGATAAATGAACTCTGCTGGTGAGAGGCTGGGAATCTACAACAGCCTTGCAAGAGAAGAGAGACCGGGTAAGAAAAGAGAGCAAAGGTGGAGGCGGTGTGTGTGTGTGTGTGTGTGTGTGTGTGTGTGTGTGTGTGTGTGTGTGTGTGCGCGCACGTGTGGTACTGTATGTTGAGTATACAGTGTCTCTGTGAGATGGGTGAAGTCTACTTGTCTGAAGGATGGGTATGACCACACTTATGCCCATATATCCCACTATGTGCTCTGGACTTTTATACCGGCCTACCCACATACAGTTCACTATAAGTGAGCCTGCAACTACTTAGCAAACATATCCTGGTCCTGTCTCCAACCTACCCAAATACCCAAATTCTTAGAGCTTCTAGGCTGTTCAGAAGCTAGGAGGACACAGATCCTCCATGTACCCATTCTGGTCTGGCCCCCTGGGCAGAGGCGGCTGTGGAAGGCAGGAAGTGAGGTCAGAGCACAAACAGCTCAGCTCCTCCCAAGAAGAGGTCCAAGGCCCATGGCGGAAAATCTGGAAACTGCCGGCCACTGTTCACACCAAATGACGTGGTCCCAAACTCAGCCATTCAGTGACTGGTCACTGGTCATCCTTGGGCATGCAGGAAGGTGAGCATCATACCCAGGGAGGACTGGTACCTCGGGGCAGGAATGTGTTACTTTCTTCATGGTTGACCATGCAGGACTTGTGGTCACTAGCGTGAGCCCCTACCAGTCTCTAGGGACAAGGAAGCTGTACAGGCCAAGATGACTACAGTCTCAGAAGACAGCCTGTTGGGTCCAAAGATGGCCACGTGTGTGGCACCTGGCGTCCTCACCCAGCCAATCTGACACAGAGCAGGTGTTCCTCAGAGGTTTGATGAGTTAATGAGCCATATCAAGTAGGAGACATGGCCCAAGGGACAATCTGTCATCCTCTAGAACATCTCTAACAGAACTCGCTGAGTCACAGAAGGGCTCTGCATCGGTGTATTCAGCCAATGTGGTAGCCACTAGCCATGTGCAGGTACTGAGCCCATGGACAATGAGCAATAAAACTGAGTAACTGGGGTAGGGGACATGGCCCAGTTAGCAGAGTACTTGCCTAGAATGCACAAAACTCTGAGTTCAAGCCGAGCACCACATAAGCGGGTATGGCAAGTCTGAGGTCTCTACATGAGACCCTGAGGATTTTAAAAATCCAACTTGAGGGACTGACTTTTAGTTGAAATTAGTAACAGTTTAAATAACTACCCACGGCTAGTAGCTTCTGTAGTAGGCAGATAGCTTTAAAACACTATGGAAAACTGAGCCCAGCCTGGCCCCCGTGGTGACAGGAATGTGGTGGTCGCATCTACGCGTGGTTGGGGAGAGTGCTGACAGAGTCTGACCTGGCAGACTCACATCACCTGCTCTGTCACGGTGTCACTGGCCTAAGAAGGCCAGCTCAACGCCATGCTGGGAATGATGGTCCCAAGCAAATGACACAGATGTAATTCCACTTGGACAGGGCGACCCACGGCTTCACTCCCTCCCTGGGCCACCTCCTCAAGAAGGAGTTAACCTCACCACATGCCTTCCAAACATGCTCCTGATTTCCTTTATGGTGAGTGCGCAGCCACCCCTCCAGCTCTGTGCCCAAGTCAGTTTCTGGCTGAACTGACACCAACATCTTTCACACTGAGAACAAAGAATATTCCTCCAATGAAGACTGTCCATCACAGCACAGTTCCCTATCACCTACCATCCATGTGTGTGCACGCACACACCCACACACACACACACATGCATAGGCACATAAATACACATGGAAACAGAAACAAACACACATATACATATACATTTGTGCACACACTTGGAGATAAGCACATGTGTACCCACACCCGCGCATACACAGAGAAAACACACGCCCACATACACTGTTACTCTATGACCCAGATGGACTCCTTTCTGCCACACTTATTCACTAGCCTCTCACTTCCTGAAAAGCTCCAGCAGAATCATGTTCTTTATAAATGTTTAATATGTATGAGTGCCTTGCCTGTATGTATGTGCACCACATGTGTGCAGTACCCATGCAGGCCAGAAGAGGGCATCAGAGCCCTTGTAATTATAGTTACAGATGACAGGTGCTGGGAAGGGAACCCAGCCATTTTCCAAGAACAGTAAGTGCTCCTAACTGCAGAGCCATCTCTCCAGCCCTAAGAATCGTGTTTAAAGACCGATTTCAAACACTTCTGAGTGTTTCCCTAGTCACTTGCTGATTCCCTCATCCCTCCCACCTTTCCTGGACCCTCCACCTTTACCCTGAGCCATGCACCTCTTCTTATTTTTTTTGGTGTGTACCTAACCAAATCACAGGACCATGTTTATCCCAGGCATGACCCCATCCCGATTTCAGTTCTTTATACCTCAGGCCCCGTTCGTTAATTTGAATCCATCACAACATGTTCCAAGCCAGGCAGGCCAGGACACAACGGGACCCCTGATTAGAATGGTAAGGTCATGGCTGCACCCTTTTGGCTAGCTTCTGCTAAGCCCCAGGGACCCTGGGCCAGAGAGATGACTGGAGACAGGCCTAAAGCTCACATATGGTACTTCTGAGGGGAAACTGTCCTAAGATCCCAGGAGCTTCATGGTCAACAGCTTTCGCTGAACCCACCAGCACTCTAGGAGCCCTTGTCCTACCCTCTTAGGCCAGCAGGGCCCGTGCAAACGTGGGTTCCAGCCCTCAGCCCTGCTGGTTGGGTGGTTAATTCACAGAATGAGCTCTACTCACTGAAAGTGCCCGGATGAGTTCTCCACTCCTCCATGATGATTGTCCAGAGGCACCTCCAACTCAACCACAGCCTACCCCCCCATCCCAGCAAACCCCCCTCTAGCCTCAACTCCACACTCTCTGTTCCATCTAGCCATAAAGCCCTCTAGTTCTGCCTTCTACCTAGACTCCTGCTGGCACTCGGTACTCTACCATAACCGCCATCCTGAGCTGGACCGCCACGTCTCGCTCATCTCCCTGCTTCCCCATCTCCAGCTACACTTATCTGTTTGAATTCCAAGACCCAGGCATGGCTGACCCTAGCTCCCTTCAGCACAAAGTCAAGGCCCTCAAGAGGGCTGCAGGCTCCAGCTCCAGGCTGTGGCTCACAGGACCACTCTGCCTCTCTTCCCTTCCTTTCTGTTCACAGTACTGTGTTCCTGATGCCCCGTGGACACACCTCTGGTTCTTTCCCATGCTGCCTCCCCTCCACGGCTCGCTGCTCACCGCCCTGCAGGGCTCCACTCCAATCTACCTTGAGAAAGTGTTTCCTGGCCCCAGATATTGAATACCAACCTCCCTCTACCCATGGTTCTCGTTAAGTTTCTTTCCCTGCTCCATTACATATACCCACGTCTTTTCTGCCAGCCACCCCGACAGAATCTATTACACTCAGGACCATCTCCTCATGGAAGAAGGCCCTGAATACTTATCATCTGAATGTACGCTTACTGACTTCTATTTTTAAGATAAATTTAATTTTTACTTTTAAGAGTGTGTGTGTGTGTGTGTGTGTGTGTGTGTGGGTATGGGTATGTGCATACAGGAGCCTGTAGAGACCAGAAGAGGGCATTGGATCCCCTGGATCTGGAGTTATAGGCAGTTGTGGGCCGCCTGACACGGGTACTGAGAACAAGAACTTAGGTCTGCATGCGCTCTTAGCCGCCGAGGCCTTTCTCCAGCCTCTCATAGACGTCACCATCCCCTTCTCTGCTCCTACTTCACAGACAGGCCGGGGCTCGGAGGGCGTGAGTACCAACTCAAGGCCAAGTGACAAGAGGTTCCGCTAGAATGGGAATGGAAGTCTCACTCTGCAGCCCAGCACGGTGGCTCCTTCACACCTGTGATCCCAATACTTGGAAGGCTGAGGGAGGAAGGCCTTGGCCATGAGTTCAAGGCCAGGCTGGCCCGCAGAGTGAGACTGTCTCAGAAACGAAAACAATGTACAGAGATGCTGCAAGGCAGCTAAAAGCCCAGACTGCTGTAGAGGACGGAGACATTTCTTCAATATTAAGTAGGCATTTAATAAACTACCACGGCTTCATTCCCTCAGCCAGAGAGGGGACGCTCCCATCCCTGGCCGCAGGCCACAGACGCCCAGCGGCTGAGGAAGACTATGCTGCCAGCAACAGTGGAGAAGGCTGGAGACCTGCAGAATCAGCAGAAGCTGGGAAGGTACTCAGTGGTCTCTGGAGGGGGGAGCGGGGGAGGCTGGGAGGTCTTGGGTTGAGGGAGGGGGGCTCAGTTCTCCTGACCTCACCACTGCTGCTTGGAGACCTCACAACACAGCAGAGTCCCTACCCCTGTCACCAGAGGCCCCCTCGCCCGAAATGCCTGCAATAGGGACGTGACTTGCTAAGTTCCGCAACACTGGCATGAAGAACATTCTGTAAAGTCCAAATGGTAGAAATTGGAAGCAACAGGGAGACAGATATTTTACCTCACAACATAGGGAAGGCTCCTTCTGGCTTTTCTCATGTTAAATGCCTTTCAAAGCGAAAACAAACACTAAGGATATTAGATGTAGTCAAGAGTGTTTCTGTTTAGAAGCTGAAAGGGAAGGACATTTTCAGATTAATGCTGGGGAGGGGTGTCTGTGGTCCTTTCGGGTGACGCACCCACTTTCCATACTGGGGACACCTAGACGAAGAGGCCATGTCCCTATGGAGAGGGGAGGTGCCCTACTCTCTGTTCGCACCAACCTCTTATTTCCCCACTGAGCAGCTTCCCAAGGAAGCAGGTCCATCACCACCCCGTCCCCCCAGGACAACTTCAGGGATGGACACTAGAAACCTGATTCTCCCCTCCCCCATGGTCCTCCAAGAGACCTGGACTCAAGGTCAAGGTGACTCACAGCCAAAGGACTTGGGACAAGCAGTAAAGCAGATCTGAGCAGAGGTTGGAGCATAAGGACATTCAGACACTGAACTTATAAAACAGTGCCGTTCACAGCTCCAGGAGAGAAACCCACTCACATGAGCAACGGGGGGCTTTTCCCCACAGGTAAAGGCCTTGCTTGGTAACAGCACCCCTCAAAGGGAGGGCCATGACCCAGGCAGAGGCAGGAGAGGAAGCAGGTTACAAGCACCTGCTCACCTGAATGGGCACCACAGACGTAGTGTCCCCTAAACCATGCTTCCCAGGGTGCTGTGGAGTAATCCTTCTGCACACTGCGAAAATGTGTTGCTCTCATTGGTAATAAAATGCTGATTGGCTGATAGCTGGCAGGATTTTCGGGGCAGAGAGAATGCTGGGAAGAAGAAAGGTGGAGTCTGAGGGGTCGTGAGCCAGAAGAAGCAACGTGGGAAGTTCATAGATGAGGTAAACGAGCCTCAGGGCAGCGCACAGATGACTAGAAATGGGTTCATTTAAGTTGTAAGAGCTGGCTGGAGGCAAGCCTAAGCTAGCAGCCGAGCATTTATAATTAATAATAAGTCTCTGTGTGGTTATTTGGGAGTGACTGCCAGGACACAGAGAAACCCCACCTACACTAGGGCACACACATCAACAGTGGATGACTCTCTTAACAGCCCTGTACACTGAGCATCCCCCATTGGGGCCTGGCTGCAGCTTCCTCACTGGTGGAAGGTGTGGCCTAAAGGAGTGCAAGCCTGTGTTGGCCACTTCCCCTGTCACCTCTCCATCCCCCTCATTCCTCCTTCACATCATCTCGCTGCCTGGAAAGTACTTCTGGGGGGGGGGGGGCGTGATTCAGACACCTCACAATTCTGAAATTTGTACCTGGCAACAGGTGTGATGTTCTGGGTGCCTGCCGTTGCCAGGTGCCATTTGGGGTGCTTAGCAACTCTTAAGGTCCCAAACTAATCCCCAAAATGAGGTCACACGGGACTCACAACAAGCAATTGAGCTCCACACTAACATGCCCATGGAGCTGTGGGGAGGCTGGACGAGGCCCCAGGCTCACTCAGGTAGCTCTACTGGACCACCTGTGTCCTAGAGGACAAAGATGGTAGACCAGCAGTTCTCAGCCTGTGGGTCATGACTCCTTTTCATGCCAGGATCGTGCTCAGACACATCAATAAGGCTTTGGTGTCGGCCAGACACAATTCTGCTCTGCAAGGAGGCAGGGGATGGTGGGGCCGAACCCTTTTGTTCCTGACCCTCTTGAGCATACCTTCTGTCTCCACCCATCTGTCACCTAAGCCATGCCTCCCTTGAGAAAATGTGGGAGGGAAGGTCTGTGTGGGAAAGGACTGGGCTACCTCACCCCTTTCTGGGAGCCGGAACTCTGAGTCCCATCTTTATCCCAAGCAAGAGGCCAGTCACCTCCATGAAGACAGAAGCCAAGGGTCATGGGAACTAGAGAAGCCTGAGCAGGGTCCCCGTGGTGTCGGAGGATGAAGATGAGGGAAAGAGGAGACCAGCTGAGGGGCTGAGCAACTTCAGCGGCAGGGCACATCGTCTGACTTGAAAGCAGTTCAGAAAACACTTAACGCATGCTGACGCCATAAAGCGAGGCCCCGGGCCTGAGCGCTGCATTCTGGGAAGAGCCTCGCCTGGCTTCAGCACTGGTACTGAAAATGCTTGAGCATTTACCCGAGGATTGCACAGACCGTTTAGCATGGCAGTGACTTCAAGTGGCACCTGAAAGGGGGACAGGCGTCCAGACCACCCTCTGTCTGCTCCTACGGGGGCTTCTGCAGCCCTCTGTCCCAAGTGTCCCCGTCTGTCATCTCATTCCCATCCGTACTGGCTTTGACAGAGGAGAGCACGTGGAGACCTGTGCTGCCCCACAGGCTGAGGCTCCTGTGTCCAGTCAGCCCTGAGGTCCAGGGAGGGAGTGACCTCTGTCCTGACTGGAACAGAGGAGAGAAGAGTGTTCTCTCAACCAGCTGCCACCTTCCTCCTCCCTTGGGCCAGTGTGTCCCCAGGGGCTGAAGCCATGTCCTAGCAGTGAAGGCACCAAAGGACTTCACAGTTTGGAAGCTCAACTCTACCTTCTTCCTTCACGTACTTCCCAAACAATCCATGACAATGATATATATATTTTTAAGCCCAGTTTTTCAGAAGGCTAAACGAAGACAGCGAGGCACAGCCCCAATGTCACATAGGGGAGTGCCAGACCCTGCTGTCCCCGAGAAAGCTGGTGCAATACTGGATACAGATCTGACGTCACCAACATAGGGACAGGGCTGGTCCCCTGTGACGCAGACTCGGCTGTCAGTCGCAAGAGGAGGTGACGTGGGGATGGAGTGTGCAAGGACCTGGGTCTGCTGACCTCACGAGCAAGGACAGTCCCTAGGGCATCAGGGTTCCACGGGCAGAGAGGTATTTTCTAGATAAACAAGGGTGTAAGTGCCTAAGTACACTCTCATTCATCACTAAGGGGAGTATAAATTGTTTGCGCCTGTACATGAGTCAATTTGGCAATATTTATCAACATTAGAAAGGCACAAGGCTGGTGCCTCCAAAAGTTAAACACAGTGGTACCTGGCAATTCCACTTCCGGGTGGGTATCCAAAAGGCGTGAAGCAAAGAATGGAACAGACACTCGGACCCCAGTGCTCATGGTGACATTATTCACCACAGACAGAAGGAAAACCCAGAGGATGCTCAACAGTACGCCAGCCAAAGGTCCTGATGATTTCTGTTGTTGTTGTTTTGCTTGTTTTTGTTTTTGTTTTTCAAGACAGGGTTTCTCTGTGTAGCTTTCGAGCCTTTCCAGGAACTCACTCTGTAGCCCAGGCTGGCCTTGAACTCACAGAGATCCACTTGCCTCCGCCTCTGCTAAGATTAAAGGTGTGTGCCCCCATCACAGGGCAGGTCTTGAAGATTTAACTGTGGTCTACGGCAGCATCATGCTGCCCTGGAAAGAAGGAAGTTCTGCACATGCTACACAAAGATGCTCCTTGAAGACTTTATGCTAATTCATGAAACAAGCCAAATGCCAAGAGGACAGTTACTCTGTGACTCTACTTCTGCGATACCTACAATAGGCAGCTTCACAGTCGCCTCTAGAGGCTGAGAGTGGGGCGGGGATGAGGAGTCAGTGTTGATGGGCTGAGTTCCTTTCTGTTTGGGGTGATACAATTCGCAACAACGTAAGTGGACTCGGCGCCACTGAACTGCACACTTAAAAATGACCAGAAGTGGGGTGGGGCTGAGAAGACAGCTCACCTTGCCAGCGTGATGGTCTGAGTTCTACCCACAAAGCCCACATGAAAAAGCCACACGTGGTGGGACATGCTTGTAAGCCCAACACTGGGGAGGCTGAGACACGCAGATCCCTGAGGCTTCCTGACCAACTGGCCTAGCCCAGCCTAGTCCAGCCTAGTCGAGCCTAGCCCAGGCTAGCCCAGCCTAGCCAAATTTCAAGCTCTGGGCCAGTAAGAGACCCTGTTTTTAAAAAGCATGGGGGTAGGGAGGGGCATGATGACGACAGACAATACTTGAGGTTTTTCTCCAACACACACACACACACACACACATAAATTCTAGCTCTCTAGAAGCAGTAAGAAACACCGAAGATGCTAAGATGTGAGGGACCAAAGCCTCAGAGGGAAGAGAAACACATTTAGGGGAAGCTAGTACCCTCTGCCATCTTTCCCTTGAGGCCAGGAACAGAGGCAGTGGTGAGAACATCCCAAGGGTTGGAGATAAAGAAGACACTAGACAGATCCACAAGGCTGAGATGCTGGAATGCAGAGAGCTGGAGCACAAGCCTGACTTCCAGTATTCTGTTCCGGAACCAGGGGTTGGGGGGGGGGGACCACAACACCCAAACAGAAGCTGCTAGAAAAGAGGACACAGATAGAAGACCATGTCTGCAGCAGCAGTTTCTCCAGCTAAGGAGCTCAAGTCCCACCCCCTAAGAGGAGGACCCGCCTCCTAAGAGCTATATGCACATGTACAGGCACCCATACATACATACATACAATACACACACACACACACACACACACACATATTCACTAAAAGTCCAGCTCTTACACAATATCTTTATGAAAAATTTAGAGGTGGGGGGAAAGCAAAGATACCAGGACCCGAGCAAAAAGACATGAGCACTTAACAAATTCCCAGCCAGATCCCAGATGAAGTCAATGACGGGGTGAGGTTTCTGTGGACTGCCAGGAACTTAGCTAGTGTTAAGAGAGAGTGATACAGTGAAAAATGTCTTAAAGAAAGACCGTACCAAAAGAGTATGACAGCGCACGCCTATAATCCCAGCACTTGGGAGGCAAAGGCAGGAGGACCAGAAGTTCAAGGTCATCCTTGGCTACGTCACAAGTTCAAGGCTAGCCTGGGCTATGAGAGACTCTATCTCAAAAACCAAACACGTAATACTTCAAAACCATCAAAATTGAGTCCTGAAAGCTGTATGTATTAAGAGATGTTTGTCTCAGGGGCCGCAGCAAAGCTGCTTTTATCTGTAAATGTTTAAGTTTGACTGTATAAATTATGTGGCTTCGGGGACCTAAACTAGGCTGCAGAACTGGGTCACTGCCATCTAAGGCCACACCATCTACTTCCTCAGATGCTCACACTGAAGAGTCTGCATCTCTTCTTCTATTTTCCTTTCAAGAATTAGAAAACCAAAAGAATTTGCACCTTAATGTCTCATGGAGTAACATTCCTTAGAGGAATTATAAATACCATTGCTTCTGGCATTTTCGGTGACATGCTACAAAATCATGTCTTCTAAATGAGTGCAAGGGCTGGCAGACTCTCTGGCAAAGCAGAGAAGAAAAGATCCGAAAACGGTCATGAGGTCAGCACAAATACTCCTTCTGAAGCATAGGGGGGAAAATGAGTTAGAGTCGGGGCAGGGGGGGAGTCAGGAGTGACAGGTAGCACATCCCTATAATCCCGGTGTTGGGGAGTGGGGCAGAGGCAGGATTGTCACTAGTTCTAGGCCAGCCTGAGCTACACAGTGAGGCTCTGTATTACAGAAAGGAAAGACACAAGGGGGGGGGGGACACCTTTAACCTCAGCATTTAGGAGGCAAAAGCAGGTGGATCTCTGTGAGTTCAAAGCCAGCCTGGTCTACAGAGTGAGCTCCAGGACAGGCAGAGCTGTTACACAGAGAAACTCTGTCTCAAAAAAATAAAAAATAAAAAAATAAATAAGTGAAGACAGGAAAACCTATCACATTAAATGCATATTTGACAGCCTGATGTGACACCTTTAATTCCAGCACTCAGGAGGCAGAGGCAGGCAGATCTCTGTGAGTTTAAGGCCTTCCTGGTCAACATCGTGAATCTCAAACTATCCAGGTCTACATAGAGACCGTCTCAAAAGAACAAACAAACATATTAAAAGTACATTTTAGCAAAACATGTCAAAGCTCATTCTTCTAGGCTATATACCTAGACGACAACAAGGACATAAAGTAAATCAAAGGAAAAGAAGAAAATTATAAAGGATTTTTGTTGGTTTTTTTTGTTTTGTTTGTTTTGGTTTGGTTTGGTTTGGTTTTTCAAGACAGGGTTTCTCTGTGTAGCCCTCGCCGTCCTGGATCTCACTCTGTAGCCCAGGCTGGCCTCAAACTCAGAGATCCACCTGCCTCTGCCTCCCAAGTGCTGCGATTAAAGGCATGTGCCACCACTGCCCAGCAGATAAAGTTTTTAAAAAGCATAAATTAATGAATTATAGACCAATGTACAAAGAACATAAAAAAAAAATAGAAGGTGGCTCACTGCTCAGACTAAACCTGAGACTATTACCTCAGCAAGGTGAATGAATGGGAAAAAAGAAAAAGAAGGCACACATTATCAATAAGAAAACAAAAATCAGTATAACTCTCACAGACAATAAGCAAGTCAAAAGAAATGAGCACTGTGTCAACAATTGGAAAATTTAGGACAAAATGAACAAGTTTCCGGAGGGGGCTCTTCAAAAGTTATCAAGAACAAAAACCAACCAAGCCGGGCGGTGGTGGCGCACGCCTTTAATCCCAGCACTCGGGAGGCAGAGCCAGGCGGATCTCTGTGAGTTCGAGGCCAGCCTGGGCTACCAAGTGAGTTCCAGGAAAGGCGCAAAGCTACACAGAGAAACCCTGTCTCGAAAAACCAAAAAAAAAAAAAAAAAAAAAAAAAAAAAAAAAAAAAAAACCAACCAAACAAAAAGCCCAATGTAAATCCCGAACACCCGTTCTCTTGGGACGAAGGCTGACACTTCTCACCTCCTAATGCACAGTGCTCCCCTGGTGAACTCTGAACATCTAGGCACTGTGCAGGCCACACACTGACTCTGCCAGGCGGCAGGGAGAGGGGACACTTCTCCAGTTCCTGCACGGCATGCAGATGACATAGATATGAAGTAAGATGGCGGACCCACCCCACTGTCAGCAGAGCTGCCCATCTCTCTGGAACTCCCACAGGCGGCAGCATCCCGGCCTTCCTGTTGAAAGTGCACTGAGCCCTTCTGCAGATAACCAGACCACCCGTTACCTCTAAAACAACCTCTCAAGGAGGGCTCTGCACAGAGAGAAACCGAGGCCTCAGGAAGCTCAGGAATGGAGCCGGAGAGGGGGCTCTGCGGTTAAGAGCACCAGCTGCTCTTGCAGAGGACCCAAGTTACTCCCAGCACCTACACGGGGGCTCACGACCATCGGTAACTCCAGTTCAAGGGAACCCAACACCCTCTTCTGGCCTCTGTGGGCGCTGCATGCACATGGTACACAGACATACATGCAGACAAGACACCCAAGAATGTAAAATAAAAGATGGATAAAAAGAGGCTATGTCCATTCAGGATACAGCCAGGCTAAACTTATCCCACTGAACGGACACTCACAGATACATACCGTGTGCTCAGTGAATGTCGAAGACCCCTGCCCCTCCTGTCTGCCTCACCTTCGAGGGCCGAGGTCCCCCTTGCTGGCACAAGTAGGGGGGTGCCAGCTGACGCACAGCAGGCCGCCAGCACCTGCAGGCTGCTCTACAATGTCCCAGATTTCTGGGCTACCAAGAAGGCCCTTGCTGCTAGTTCCCAGGTTCTCTGCGCTGACCCTGCCCAGGGGTGACAATGAGGACCTGGGAATAAGAATCTAAAGGTGCCGTGGCCGGCCCCAAGCTCACGGGTTACAAAGCACTTCTCAACAAAGTGCTTCTCACCCGATCCTCGGGAAACCCTGCAAGGCGAACACTGCACCTGCGCTCTGAGTATGCGGACGGTGGGTCTCTGAGAGATGAAAGAACTCCTGGGCGAGCTCAGTGGTAACTCTGGAAGGCCACCATGGCATAAGAGACCAGACACACAGCATCTTTATAAAGCCAGAAGGGGAAACTCTATAAAATACAGCCAGGCCGCAGCAGGTCCCCAAGAACACCACGGGCCACAAATCATGGACCTTTGTCACCAGAGGCAAGGGGAATTGCCCCATCAGCCCTGTGTTCTGAAAAAGATGACTCCAGGGCCTAACTTGGAAGCTTCTAGATCTCACTGGTAAACAAGAGAGAGGAAATTGGGACTCATTGGCTAAGTGACTACCTGTGCCTTCAAATACCACTCTCTAGAGCATCGGTTCTCAACCTTCCTAATACTGCGACCCTTTAATACAGTTCCTCATGTTGCGGTGACCCCCCACAACCATAAAATTATTTTCGTTGCTACTTCATAACTGTAATTTTGCTACTGTTGTTTTAATTAATTTATTTTTATTTTATGTGCATTGGTATTTTGCCTTCATGAATGTCTGTGTGAGGGTGTCAGATCTTGGCGTTACAGACAGCTCTTAGCTGCCATGTGGGTGCTGGGAATTGAACCCGGGTCCTCTGGAAGAGCAGTCAGTGCTCTTAACTGCTGAGCCATCTCTCCAGCCCAATTTTGCTACTGCTATGAATGGCAATGTATATATCGGATATGCCACCCCAAAGGGGCTCTGACCCGCTGAGCTAGAGACTGTGGTGAGGCTGAGAGCAGACACTCATCTAGTAATCCCTAAAACCAAAGGGCCGTCAGCCGCAGTGGCAGAGTCGAGAAGCTTCTGTAAAGCAGTAACACCCCCCAAAACCCACCCCTACCCCACCCCACCCGCACAAAATGACATGCTGTCCAGGGTGGAGAGCCGGCCTCAGCTTCGAGGAAGGGAGATAAACCTGCAGGAAATCGGTGGGTGTCATTTCTAGAGACCTCTAAGAACTGTTTGTGATGAATCCAGACCGAAACCCATTTAGAAGGCTGAGTCACATGGGAACGGGGAGGACCGTTCCGGGTGGATTAGGCTGGAGCTCGGCCAGTAAACAGAGAGCAGGGACAAGCAGGCCCTCCTCCAGATGGAGATGGATAAACAGGAGGGGCCCCAGGGACAGGGCTGCTGCTGCTTCTGCCTAAGTGACTTAGAAGGAGGTAGGGGGAGGAGCAGGGAGGTGGCATGGGCGGCATGAACTCTTGCCCTGGCCAAGCCCACAGCCCCAGCAGGCTCCTCTCCATCTCTTAGCACAAGCGCCAGGCCCAAGACCCTCCCCGCTCCCGCAGGGTCCTCCCAAGCCCTGAGTCACACCTGCTGCTGACTCTGCTCCTCCAGGTTCATCTTCACCTCCAGCGACTGGCGGGCCTCCAGGAAGGCCTTCCGGTGCTTGCGGTCGGCCATGTAGTAGGACATGATGCCCACGATGATGGCGCACAGGTAGAGGAAGACATTGGCCAGGATCTACATGCCAGGGAGGAGAAAGAACAGGGCTGGTAAATATAGATCTTCAGGAAAACAGGGACAGGGAGGTGGGGCTGGCAGGGATCAATGTGAAAGGCCCCTGAGTGGACCCTACCCTATAAATCACAATCAGCAAGATAACGGCTCCAGGCCAGGAATGTGTACAGGCCACGAGGCTTGCATGCAAGTTTACAAGGCCTGGTGAATGATGGCTGTTCCTTTCCTACATCATACCACAATCAAGCCCCTCCCCAAGAGGCGGAGCAACCCTTGGCTTCTCAGTTGGTTTTGTTTTTGTTTTTGTTTTTTAAGATTTTATTTATTTATTTATTATGTATACAGTGAGTGTTCAGCCTGCAGGCCAGAAGAGGGCACCACCAGATCTCATTGTAGATGGTTGTGAGCCACCATGTGGTTGCTGGGAACTGAACTCAGGATCTCTGGAAGAACAGCCAGTGCTCTTAACCTCTGAGCCATCTCTCCAGCCCAGATGCTCAATAGTTAAACCAGCATGTATGGAGCCCAGCTGACTAGGTGCTATCAGTGCCAGCCCACTGCCCCGCAAGCCCAGTGCCACCTCAGCTGGCAAGAGTCTGCTCCGTCTGGCACCCTGCAGGCTCTCCCAGGTGACCTGGTCCCTTGTCATGCCTAAAAGCCTGCTGGATTTGCAGAGCCAGTGGTTTCCTGCTGGAGGGAGCCTTGGATATGGACCTGGACGTTCCCATCATACATGGCTCCTGGTGTTGGCAGCTGCTGGCTCTGTGCTTTGGTCAGAAATGGTGGGGCCAGGTGCTGGGCCAGGTATTAATTCCCTGTTGGTCTGCAGTCCACTGGCCTGAGTGAGCCTTCTCAGGCAACGCTGCTCCTGGCCCAGCTCAACCTGTTTCTCTGGAGCCAGTGCCACACTTTAAGTTTTATTAAATTTTTTTTTTTTATATTATGTGTATGAGTGTCTTGCCCATGTATATGTCTGTGCACCATGTGCATGCTTGGTGCCCAAGGATGCCAAAAGAGGGCATCGGATCCCCTGGAACTGGAGTTCCAGACAGTTGTGAGCTGCCTTGTGGATGCTGGGGATTGAACTTAGTTCCTCTTCAAGAGGAGTCAATGCTCTTACCCGATGAGCTCTCTCTGGCCCCTCCCCACCTCACCCCTACACACCTTCTTGAAACTGCCCTTCCCTCCCTGCCCTACTTCCTGAGGGAAGGGGGGGACAGTCACCACCCACAGAGGTAGTTTGGCTATCCCTCACACAAGATTGGAGTTGAAAAGCAGGATGCAAAGGAAATTACTAGGAATTGAACTTCTGGCCCCACAGGAGGAGAAGATTGGCCCAGTGGTGTGTGCATGGTAGAGTCTGGGGTCAGGGAAAACTATGCTGAAGTCAGCTAGGATTTTACATGGATGCTTCAGTAACAGATAAGGGGATGGTTCTGATTCATTTTCTGGGTTCTCCTGGTTATGCCACACCCCACTCTGAGCTGTTTTTCATTTATCAGGACTAATCACCAACACCCTAAGGACTCACCACCACCACACCCTACAGAGTTTTTTTTTTTTTGGGGGGGGGGTACAGGTGCTTGGTTGGCAATGTTGAGTCCATGGGAAGCCCCACCACAGGGCTGCTGAACAATGATTTAGGAGGCGGACTATGTGTCTGGGCTAGCCAGAAGTCACTGTGGATAAATTCCTAAGCTCCTGGGCGGCTGGTTCTACCATCTAAGATCTGTGTTCATCTGGGGCCTAGGCAGCCACAGCTGTCACTATCTGGGGTCAGTGTCTTTGGCAACATGCCCTGTACTGTCTGCCTTCTTGACAGACCCTCCATCTAAGTGGCCAAACTTGGTGGGACACCAGCCTGATCATCTGAAAATCTCTGGAGTTGGGTCCAGTGAATGAAGTCAATTATATGGACCCCGTTGGGTCTCAGAGTCAGTCTAGCATGATGCCCAAGAAACTCGACCCGCCCAAAGGCCATCCTCCTGCAGGGCCCTTGGCATGTGCCCACACCTCCAAGCTCACAGAGCCACAAATTGACAAGACTGGATGACAGAGTCAGGTTGGCATCCTATGCTTCATCTGTGTGCCAGGCTTTCAAGAAAGACGCTGCACGTGGCAGTCACATCCAACCGGGACTCATATGACTAGGTCAACGCTGTGAACCTCAGTACCCCCAAAGAGAGGGCTCAACCAGGGAAGGAT